ACGTAATTCTTTTAGCACTAAAAATACCAAGTCTAATAAGTTTTCCACTCGTCACCGCAAAAAGGTGAAAAAAATCAGATGGTCAATCCAGCAATGAAATTGGAGGTACTATAGTTTATTTCATTAAGCGATGCAGGGCATATAAACAAAGATAAATTTAACAGATAATTGTTAAAGATGTTCCAAATGAGTCTACTCGTTCCGATAAGTAACAGTATAATTATGACACTTTATTTTTTTTTCTTTTCTTTATTATCCTTTTCCATTCTTCTCTGTCTGTCGCTACAGTCATCCACCTAGAGCCCACGTGCTTCTTGATATCATCTGCCTATCTCATTTGGGGCCTTCCCCTGCTTCGTTTATATTCCCACGGTCTCCAACTAATAATTTTGTTCCATCGGTCTTCTTTTTGCCTTATATTGTGTCCGGCAAATCTCCATTTCAATTTTGCAACTTCTTGTCTAACATCCCGCACTTTTGTTTTCTCTCTTATCCACTCGTTTCTCTTTTTATCCATTAGTCTTATGTGCACATTTGTCTTTCCATTGCTCTTTGGGTTTTTATGATTTTGTCCATGTTTGCATTTGTAAATGTCCACGTTTGGGAACCATAAGTAAGAACAGGGAGTACGCATTGATTGTATACTTTGGTCTTAAGATGTTGTGGATATCTTTTGTTTTTAAGAATGTAGCTTAGTTTACCAAATGCCGCCTATGCCAGTCTAACTCGTCTCTTTATCTCTGCTGTTTGGTTCTCTTTGTTAAGTTTTATAGTTTGACCAAGGTATATAATCCTGAACTTGTTCTATTTCATTTGTGACTACTGTGACACTTGATCAACTTATGCATAGTAAATAAATTATTGTCATCACTGAATACATAGTAAGTGAAAAAAATAACCCGATCTATAAAATTAATGAATATTTTATGCATAAATGCAAGTAACAGTTCTTCAAAAATAATAAAAAGTAACCGAAATGTCCATCTTTATTTCGTCTGCCGACGTTGTCGGTAGCTCATACAGGTTCGGACATGATTTAATGTTTATATCTCATTGCATCGCTTAATGAATTTTACTATAGTGTCCACCAAAATGTTCCTATGGAAGACAGTGTCAACAGCAATGAAATTGGAGGTACCAGTGCCAAGCAAAATGTTCCTCTTGAAGACACTGTCCATTTACTTGACTGTCAAGGTAGTCCACAAGATAAAAAAGAAGCTACCCCACCTGCAAGCCGTAAAAAATCAAAACTGGTTTCTCAGGACAAGAGGTAACAGAAAATTATGAGGTTTAAAAGTGAGGAATATTTAACCAGCAAAGGAAAAGTCATTAGTGCGAGACCTTTGAAAGTACCGAGATGCTTGGGACGAAATAAACATAAATGTCCAATATTAATCCTGAACTAGAAAGAGAACGAATTTATAAAGAATTTCGGAGTTTACTGTCTTTGAAAGAGCAGCGGCGTAACTTTATTATAACTCATGTTATAATAAAACCAGTAAACAGGAGAACAAAAGCAGCACCATCAAGAAAATCAAGTACAAAAAGATATTCTCCGACATCAAATAGAGAGAAGCACACAGCATGCAGAGATTTTTTTGTAGATACATTAAATATTTCTGATGAGCTAGTAAGGGGAGCTTTGAAAAAAATAAATTTCAGTGGTATACATCTTCTAGATATGAGAGGAAAAAAAAGCACCAAAGAATAAAATTAAAAGAGAAGACAATTACGTATATTATGTATAACCTAAGAAATATCCTTGTAAAGTATGCATTGCCAACGAAGAATGTGCTAAATATGGCGAGAATGATGAAGAATCTTATAAAGAACATTGTAATCAGAAAGAAGCTGCTCAAAAAAAATTGCCAAAGACCACAACAATATTTTAGCTTTTCAGTGTTGATCTTCAAGCTGTTCTGTCTACTCCGAAAGGCCCTAGTGGTCCCTTCTTTTATGTTAGAAAACTTGCAGTTTATAACATGACAATTTATAACCTTAAAGATGCAAGTGGAACTTGCGTATTGGGATGAAACGGAAGGACGACGCGTGGAAGTATTGAAATTTCAACATGCATTTTTAAGTATATAATGCCACGACCTACAGTATAATATGTGTGAATCATTGACAGTTGGGGAGGGGGGGGGAACAAAACAATTTTAGGTTTATAGTCATGTGTATGCATATCCTTAAAGTTTGGACTCAAGTTACAAGAACAGCTGGCAATAGACCTCACCCATTTGAAGTTAACCATTTAGTACACCAAGAATTTATGGATTTTTCTCCAGATAAAAGTAATTTTTCGTAGGGGAGACAACAGTAATACAAGTCTACCATTTAGAAAAGCAGTTTGGTCTATGTAAAAAAAACAGATCTAAATGTTGTATTTGTTAAAGACTAAACTATGAAGAAACAACACCCTTTGTCAAATATGTGCTTAAATTACAAAGAGGTCATCCATCAAACTTCAAACCAGCTACGCCTTACACTAATCAACTCCCCATTTCCATTGCCAAATACAGAGAGCTGAAAAAGTTATGCAAAGATCTACAGATTCCACATGCATACCATGGATTTTATAAAAGTCTTCCTACCCAAACTCTTATAAGGGATACTCTGTGTGAACCGGATATTTCAGAAGAATCTGAATATGACGCCACAACATAATTATATTGCATTTTGTTGTAATTTTTGAGTTTTGTGTTTGGTCATGGTTTTGATATTTTCATATTTTTTTTTATTTTGTATTATGTTTCCTAGTAGCTGTCAATAAAATTTATTATTTATTTATTTCAATGGTAGAACCATTTACAATAAAATACAACAAATAGTAAAAAGTAAAGATCATGTACAATAAACATCAAAACAATAACAAAGAAACAAGTAAACAGTTAAAATTTGTACATTAAAACAGTATATCATATCACAAAAATTAAAAAAAAAAGTATCATTATCACATAGTAAGTATCACATACAGTGCGTTAAGTTTTGGATTAGGTATACACTCTATAAATGGCAACACTGCGCGTCGCCGACTTGCACTACATATCTGCTTCGTTGACTCGTCGTTGCTCGTCGCCCGTCGGCAAATTTGTCATATTGTCATTATACCGTGGTTGTTTAAAGGTATAACAGCGTAGAGTTTTAATTTATTTTTGTAAACATGTCTGTTTATATGGCCGCGGAAAAAGCTCAAATAATAAAATGGTTTTATAGTGGCAATTCTGCGCAACAGTGTGTAGATTTATTTTCTGTGTTTTTTGAGGGAAGACCAATTCCTTGTGTACAGTCAATTTATAACATTGTTAAAAATTTTGAGAGTTGTTATTGCCTCAAAAATTGCAGAAAATGTCACGCTCGAGAAGTGTTACCAGAAAAAGTTGAGGAAAGAGAATACGGGATACACAAATTTGTGCAACAATCGAGGTAGATTCAACACGTTCAAGTAGAAGCGTTGCTAGAGAGTTAGATGTTAGCAATGTTACTGTAACGAAAGTATGGAAAAAGGACGGTTACAAGAATTTTAAATATTCGAAAACGCAGCAGCTTTATCAAGACGATTACTTTCGAAGAATGGAGTTTTGTGAAACTCTAATAACGAAGGCTAATAGTGAACCAAATTTTATTAAAAACATTTTATTCACTGATGAATCTTCTGTTTCGTTAGTAGGGAGACACAATCCTTCCATTACGAGGTATTGGGCGCGGGAAAACCAGCACAGAAGTGTTGTTTACCGAACTCAACGTCATCAAAAAGTTAACGTCTGGACTGGCATTTTAGGAGACCACATAATAGGTCTCCTAAAATGCCAGTCCAGACGTTAACAATGACAATAGGTCATTGCAAGAGCTGAGCATTCTCGACAAGGGAAAATGACGAGCATAATCAGTTTTATGAAAAATAATATAAAAGAGTACAGTGTGTTGAGTTCTATGTATTGTGTTTAATTGTACATTAACTAATAACGAGGAACAATTAATAATGTTGATTAGAATTTTAAACAAAAATACCATATCAGCTCTCAACCTGCAGTTCTTCAATGTAGCAATTTTAAATTGAGACAATATTATAGAATAATCTATGAAATAATTTTCAGAATTCTTTATATTAATATGTGCTTTAAAAGCTAAAGATCTTAGAAACTTCCTCTGAACACTCTCCAGTCCATCAATGTAAACTTGATAAAATGGGGACCAAACAACAGAGCAGTATTCAAGACCTGAGTGTACCAGAAAGCAATACAATAATTTAAATACAATAGGTGAGAGATCATGACTGTTATGATAAATAAAACCAAGATTATGAAATCCTGTTTCCTTAATTTTAAGAAAATGGCTTCTAAATGCCATGTAAATGTTCTAAATGTATTATTAGTAGTTAGTACCTATGTTATTATTATGTGAAGTATATCAATTTTTTCGCCTATAAGCTTTAAAATAATTGTAGGAAATGGTGCTTAACATAAGTACTAAAGTATATTGAACACTTTACATTAGCCTAAGTATATTGGACTAAGTGATAATTTTGCAATAGATAACTAACTAATCTGCGTTTTTTTTTGGTTTGATAAAGGATATTGCAATTTAGATTAAGTTAATTATATAAAGACACATTTATAGAAGCTAATACAAAATATTGTTTATTTAGGTTAATATCCCTATTTTTCACATTAACTTGAGATGTTTTTTAGCTCTACAGTAAAATTTCAATTTTGCAGATTTGTTACTTTACCATATGAGGGACGATATTATGTCTATGGTTGCCATAAATAAATTAGTCCCGGTTAATTTTTCTATGCACATCAGATAAAATTTCACTGAACAGCACTGGTTTCATTTAAAACATGGCTGATTCCGTCTGCGTGAACAAAATGCATGTGCTTATCTTGACAAGCAGAGTGGGCATTCTGATTGTTTATTATTCTGTGATATAATGTATGATTACACAACATTGGCAGTGAAAGCCTACACTCCTTGGTAGTTAATAATAGTTAACATACCCCCTGTTTCTAAAAACTTCACAAATGGGATTATCATAATTTTCATCTATAAATCTACACTTGGGATTTGTGCATTTAACTTTATGTAAAGCACCATGAAGTTCTATGACATTTTTTGAACCAGCCTTTTGATGCAAGCCATCCACATTCTGAGTAATTATATTAAATAGTTTTCCTTCTTCAGAACACTTTTTCTCAAATAGTGCCAATGCTTTGTGAGCCTAAAATAAACAGTAAAAATAAATTTTATTTAAAAAGTGTAGATGCCATTGAGCAAAAAGACAAAATGCGAATGCTCCAAATTTAAATTTTCCGACACTTATTAACAGTAGCTATAAAATAGTTTTCAGAATGTGTCTTAGACGAGAAACTTTAAATAAATATTAACGATAACAGTCTAAAGTGTGACGAATTTGTTAAAAAACTTCAATATAAATAAGAGTTCATGTGACAGTTGAGACAAACAATAACATAACCCAACTAAATTTGATTTCTTAAACAAGGAAAGACTCTCTTTCCTTGTTTAAAGTGGCCTCTCAAGACGGCACTTCCTGTCTAACAATATTTTTGCCCCCACTACCTTTAAATTCCCTCTTTTGTCTTTTTGCTCAATGGTAGATGCACAGATACTTATATACATACAGTAATCAAGAGTCCTAAATATTATAAAGCCAATATTTGAGAAAGGAAAGGAGATCTTTATTGACACCTTACTTTTTACAAATAAACATTCCCAACAATTCAAATATAAAATCCACAATCCATAAAAAATATTGGCTACTCTTTTTAGTGTAACTGCTACTATTATGCCTTGTTTGGAGATATGATTTTATAACAAGTTTATTTTATGCCAAAGATTTTATAACTAGTCATTTTTACTATATAAAGAACTTACACTATTTGGAATTGAATTAAAAGCAATATTTCTTCTGTAGTGATAAAACTCCCAAACCAAAGCTGGATTTGTAGCAAAAGCTTGTGGAGTGGCTAGATCTTGCGATCTGTGAGTTCTCCAGAAGCCACCAGCCCCTCGGAAAACGGGTATTCCTGATTCTGCAGACACTCCAGCACCTGTTAAAACAGCAATATTTTTTGCTTCATTTAAACATTTGTGAAAACCTGCATAATCACTGAGTTTACGTTTTCCCATTTTGTAAAGAGAAGGAAGCACAATTTGCCTACAAAAATACATATATTTTAATATATAATTATACACACAATTAACATAAAATTAAAACCTGCTAATCATCCTAAAACACGTCGACATACCCCTTATTTTTTAGCTGATTTTTAGTTACTAGTTAAACTTAATATTTATTGGATTTTAATTAATCACATAGGTATGTCTTACTAATATACGATACCCATGTTATTAACTATTAAAAACACTGATTATGTGATTACGACTATTTACAACAAACAACAATATTGATATTGACTTGACTTCTGACTTGTGACGTGACAGTAGAAGCAATCTATATTCTTTGGTAGAAGGATTTTTTACTGTCATTTTTCAGCGTCGGCAAAGGTTATTGACAATGACGTATAATATATAGACTCGGTGAACGCTTTAAAAAGTGTCCAAAACATGAATACCTTTGTTATTGTTTATTGTTTTGATACGAAGATGCACGAAGTTCATGATTTCTTTCGAAGCATCACGAAGTTGAGCTTGTGTTTGAAAACATCATGGACGTATGAAAACATTTTGTCCATTTTGTGTGACAAGCAAATTTTATTTTACATTGTTGAGAGTTATTTACTTACTATTTTAGTAAAATGTCATACTATTTTATCAAAATAATTATTTCTCTTATAGATGGGAACAAAAAGAAATCATAAATCTTTAATTTTAATTAAAAAAAGAATTATTGTCATTAACTTATAAATGAGCACGCCGCTGTTGTGATAAACATACCTTCAACCTTGAGCGAGATCTTTCGGACACTCGATTCTATAGCCTGCGTAGTCTATACGCATCGTTGCCAATGTCGAGTATGTCGACAATTAGCAAACGATCAGAATGACGTTCCGTGCGCACTAATTTGAAATTTTAGGTTAATCTGGCTACGCTGACTTATCGAAAAAGTATGCATTAATGTTTCAACAAGTTGCAAAGAGACCAAATAATCTCAAACTTTTGAAACTTTTAACCTCACTATTAACTTGCAATTGTCAAATTCATAGGATATTCCATAATTGTTTGATTGCTTGGTTTTTCAAGTGTAAATGAATTTTAAATAGAATCATATAGAGACAATTTATTATGTGCAAACCTCATGATAGAGTAATGCAATGTAATGAATCTAAAATATTACCATATAGATGCAAAACCAGAAAAAACCAGCAAAACAAATTTTCATAGATTTTTAATTTTCTATCGTTACTCGTAAACTCGTAAAATTTACAGAAAGGTTTAAAAAAATTAAAAAGAAACGTAAACCTAAACGTCAGTAAACGAGGTAAGATTCAAAACCACAATCAAACATATCTCAGTACATTGAAACCTTACCTTGTTTCCTAACATTTCGTTTACTTTTTTTTAAATTTTACTAACTCTTTATTATAATAATTATAGTATAATAATTACTGAAACAGTGTTGAATCTCTTCGTGCTTTGGCAGAGACTGCATAATAAAAACATTACAACATTTTGCGGTTTTGCTAATTTTTAACCAAAGAAAACATTTAACCAATAATACATCAAATAGTTGTACTTTCCCCGTCCATATCTACAATTTCTTCCTCGTCCAGGTCATAACTATTTTTATCAGGATACTCTCCCTTTAATGAAACATAAATATGTACCAATTTCTTGGAATTAGTGAACGTTAATCTATTTCTTATCAGACTGTGAATGTGTCCCCAATTTGAAAAGAGTCTCTCGATTTGAGCTGAGGAGGCTGGCATTTTTAGAAGTCTGAGAGCCATTTTAGCAAGAATTGGGCATTCCAGTTTGACCACTCGCCAAAATACTAGAGGCTTTTCAACTCCTTTTTCCGAAAGTGTTGAGAATATTCCTGAAATTGTAAACCTAATATATTAAAAATCAAAAGAGCGATAATTTTGTCTGAAAGACTTACCCGATTTAGTGTTAAATTTGTCCCATTCTTCTATGCCCTGATTGCACAACTTTCTGAGTAAGAACTGAGTTATTCTACCAGTGTGCTCTGACGTAAGCTTGGAATTTTCATATTTCGGATGCAGATAGTACGCAGTTAATGCGTACACGTTTAACGCCATTTGTTGTCTGTGTCTCAATTTTTCTTTAAGGTTATCTGGCAGATTCAAATTGAGCCACAGATGAACGGCATCTGCTACAGATGTGTCAGATTTCTGACAAGCATTGATCAGATTACAAATGGGTTCATAAATTTCTATGTTCTGTTGAATCTCATCCACAAATTCATCGTTGAAGATTAATTCCTTGACTTTCGGCTTAATCTTTTTTTTCGTTACAGCGGCTACTTGTTTCATATATACCAGATTTTCTAGGAGACTTTTGAAAGAATCTCGGTAAGAGCACCATCTTGTTTCGGCCGGCAATTGGATTCTGCGCCCTCCCTTATCAACTATCATTTTTTCTAAATCTGGTTGCTTAAATTCTTTGAGGACAATGACCACATTGTCGACTAACTTTTTATCCAGCACGTCTTTGGCTAAAAGGTTGCCGGTGTGGCTACTGCACGTAGAGTGCCACATGTTGTGCTTGAGGAGGGATCCCATTTTAATCATTGCACTAGCATTATCCGAAACTATACCGTACGCATCTACATCGTATTTTTCTTTTGCAATTTTTTTAGATTCTGTTATTATTTCGGCAAGTTTTTCTCCAGTCTCAGACTCCGTGGTTAAATCCCAAGCATCAAGAAAGGCATTTTTTCCGTCTGCACTATGCAACATTGTCACAACCGTTTTAGAATTAGTAGATGAGTTTTTCCAACCGTCACACAAAATGACTGACTCGGTTTCCACTTTTTTACGTGAAATCTCAATACAGTCTTCATAGCACTTATTTAAAAGCGATGTACAAAGTTTTTTCCGGCCAGGAATTTTGTCTAAATAAGCAGGACGGATCGTTTTTATAAAATTTTTAAAGAGAGGTGATTCTACCACAGTAAATGGTAAGTTACAGCCGAATATAAATTTGGCTAGTGCAGTGCTTATCTTCTCCTCTTCATACTCTTGTAATATGTCCATATAGTCAGTGATTTTCTTTGATTTTTTGGCTGGTCTAGCTTGAGATGTAGCGAATAAATTTCTTTTATTCGTGCTTGTGTAGCTTGTGCTGGAGGAAGTTGGAGTACTTAAGTTAGTCAAATTACTACTCTCAGTATCAGTAGTTGATAACATCATATTTTCAACAATACTATAAGTGCCTTGAATTGCTACACCATTGTTTTCTTCCAATTCCAATAAGGCGGCATCGGTATCTAATGAATTTTCTATAATTCCATCTAGCATGTTTTCAGGTGAAGTTCCAGTCACAATAGCTAGCGAACCATCTTCCATAACTTCGTAACTACAGTTCGTTGTATTCTAAAATTCAAAATAAAAAGAAACTCTAAGGTGACTAAATATAAAGGGCGGATCTACGGACACCCTGTATACAGAAGTTGGCATAGGTACAGCGTTTTGTACTTAATTCAATAGGCCAATCCGTTTTTTGCGGTAAAATACTAAACTTGGTGTTTTTTTAAATGGGACACCCTGTATATAGAGATGCAACAACGTGAAAACCTCAGAATACAAATTCTGGGGTGAAAACTGATGCAATTTATGTCCCCTTCCGAATTCTAATTAAATAGTAATCAAGAAATCTACAATAATATATAGTGCGTTATTTTCACTTCTTGCCGTTAGATGGCTATACGGTTTTTGACGCCATGTTTTCTCCAATATACTACTACCGAAATGGTGATCCATGCGTTGTTGAGTTATGCGGCTCCGAACACATTTTACGATTCATTTTTATATTATAGATAAATGTAAGTTCAAAAAGTTCCCCCCAAAATTTTTTCTAGATCCGCCCCTGCTAAATATGTAGTAGAACATACGTCCTATATACTCACTTGTAGATTAACTGTGGGTGTAAAACCTGTGTCTGAGCCAGTATTTTCGTATATCGAAACATGCGACATTTCATTATTGGATTGATTACCATTGCCACGATCTAACTTGCAGACGTTTCTTAAAATGAAAGTACGGGACGGGGTTAGTTATCAGCCGATACAAATATCAATTTCAGAGAATAAATCTCTATAGCTATCCAGCTAAAATTAATTAAAATATTTCTTCTTACCTGTGACTTTGCAATCTTGCTGCAGCTGTATTTTTTATCACATTTCCACATACACAACATTTAGCCGCGTGCTTTCCTTCTATCTTTAATACTTTGAATGATAATATATCATAGTTTTTATTCAGTTTTCTGCCACTCATTTTGATTCTGATCAGATCAGATCACATTCAAAGTTTACAACTGAATAATTTCATAACATAACCTCACTTTTTTCCATTATGGACACGTTGCTGACATTGTCGACATTGTCGACATTGTTGACACGTTCTCGACATTGTCGACAATCAAAGTCGACGTGTCGATGCCCATCTCTGGTTATACACAATGACGTATATACACAAAACAAGCACAAAACAATAGAAGTTGCATTAGTTGATCATGATTTTAGTTTCTTATTTGTACCACTAGGGAGCGGTCATGTAAGCGTTATTACTGCTTCTAAAGGCCGTATGAC